GGCCTTTGACAGTACAGTTTATTTCCCTGATGTGAAAATTTCTTATCCATAAAATGAAGATATCATCACTTCCTTTGCCTATCCCTAATGATTGCTTTAATGTCAAATGAAATAGTGGGCATAAAAGTATTTTGTAAACTTTGAAGGACTACGTGAATGTGCACTGGGTAATTGTAACAATCAGAATTTAACTAGAGTACCGAAGCTTAAGTTATGGTATATATACAAATGCAAAGTCACTTGGTGACATTTAAATGCTCTAAAAGCTCAAAGGTGATCACACCCTATGGAAAGTGTGGATCTTATAAGAGATTAGTGACATGTGGACTACGTTACCTTCCAGCATCTAGTCATTTATTAAAGCTTTTCAAGACTATTAGTAGTTAGCAACTAACACAGGCAGCAACCAAGTAGACAGCAAATTCCCCTGCTTCATGATCTCCTGTCACAATAACTACTCATTTTTGAAAAATGACTACATATCAGGCCAGAAGTAAGTGCACACAAACATTATTTCATCTTAGCTCTCACAATAAACTTTTGAAATTGTATTATTATCCTGATTATATGGATGAGAAAACTGAGGCTCAAAGAAAGAAAAGAACCCCACTATCACATGGTAAGTAAACGATTATTTCAAAATTCAAACCCAGGCTAAGTCTGATTCCATTTGTATATATCTCTGTCTATAACATTTGTCTTTAATGATTTTGTTATGCTAATTACCAGATGCTTTTCTCCTTACCAGTTCTTTTCTGAAGCATAATGTCTCAAAAGACAGATAACCTAAGACAAAAAGAAGCAAGATGCTGGAACAGGTACTTCACAAAAGAAGATAGCTAAATGGGCAGATGCGGTGACTCACTCCTATAATCCTAGCACTTTGGGAAGCTGAGGTGGGCGGATCACAAGTTCAGGAGTTCAAGACCAGCCTGGCCAATATGGCGAAACCCCATCTCTACTAAAAATACAAAAATTAGCTGGGCGTGTTGATGGGCACTTGTAGTCCCAGCTACTCAGCAGGCTGAGGCAGGAGAATTGCTTGAACTCGGGAGGTGGAGGTTGCAGTGAGCGGAGATTGCGCCACTACACTTCAGCCTGGCGACAGAGTGAGACTCCATCTCACACACACAAAAAAAGAAGATAGCCAAATGATCAATAAATATATGAAAACACGCTTGACTTCATTAGTTATCAGGGAAATGCACAGCAAAGCCATAATGGGATACTCTGACATACCAGACAGGCTAAAATGCAAATGACAATACTAGGTGTAGGGGGGAGGCACGCAGGTGGGAGTGAACATTGATCCGATGTTTCAGATCAACTGAGAGTATCAACTGGTTTCAGAAAGCTGCTGACCAGCATCTACTTAAGAACAATGTATTTATACTGTACCCTATGACTTGGCAATTTCATTCCTTGATTCGCATCCAAAAGAAATGCATACATAAACATTCACAATATGGCATGTCCCAACTGTTTATAACAGCACTATTTATGATAGCCCCAAACTGGAGACTACCCAAATGCCCATCAACAGTAGCATGGATCACTAAGTCGTCATAGAGCCACACAATGGAATACTGTATAGCCATGAGCACGAGAAACTGCAGGTTCAACTATGTGCAGCCACGTGGCTTAACATCATGATACATATGATACAATAGTGAGCAACACAAGCTGGATGAGAGGAGAGTACATGCTGTTTGAGTTCGTTTGAATAAAATTCAGAAACAGGAAAAACCAATCCACCATGTTAGAAGTCTGTTTAGTGGGTACCCTGGGGGAGGCGGGAGACAGCTGGAAATGGAAGGGAGGAGAAGGTCACTCACAATGCTTGGTTTCTCGATTTGAGCGTTGGTTACACAGGCATGTTCACTTTGAGAACATTCTTCAAGCTCAACACTTACAATTTCTGCACCTACTTTTCTGCATGTATGTTATACTTCAGTAATAATACATTTTAAAATTACTAAAAGGATATAATTGGATTGTTTGTAACACAAAGGATAAACGCTTGACGGGATGGATACGCATTTTTCCATGATGGGATTATTACGTGTTGCATACCTGTACCCAAACATCTTATGTACCCCATAAATATATACACCTATTATGTACCCACAAAAATTAAAACATTTTTTCAAAAAGCTTACCAAAAAGAGTTAGTATCTCTGCTCTCCAAAGCCTGCAAATGTCAATACTTCGGAAGTGTTTCACAGAAATGCACACAGAGCTTACCATGTTTATATATCCTTTTAAATTTAAGAGTATTTATTCAGCTCACAGATTTTCATGTCCTTAAAGAAATAGCAAGACAGTTTAGGTAAACACAGGAATTACTTCTGAGCTGTGAGGCTGAGTTCTAAAAGAATGATGGTTAGGAGTAAACAAAAGAATGAAGACTAGATATTGAACATCAATAATAATGTCAAGAATAAAAGCCTTATGCATTGAGTTTTAAAGAGCAAGACAGGGCTACAGCCTACAGCCTACTTCTGCGAGCCCAGTGCTCAGAGAAGTTTTGAATCTGAAGGTAACATTAAACAAGTGAGGGGAGGGAACCTAATAAAAGCAACAGCTTAGAAAGGTAAAAACCTAGAAATAAAGAACTATGGCATATGCATATAACTTTCTTTGAAACCCACATAACTTTCATATTCTTTCTGAGAGACAATGTTTGAGTAGGAGGAATTCTTAAGAAAGCTGTCATACTAAAAAGAAAAAGTATAAGAACTAGTGAAAGATTAAGATACACACACAGATGCAAATTTGTCAATTGATTTATATTGTATCTAAAATATATTCTCTATATAATTAGATCTAACAGATATATGCATACATGTATGTATATACATATTGGCATTTAGTTCCAGTATTATCAGAATTGTGATTCCCTGAAATTGACAACAGATTTGAGAAAGGACACCAGGACAACCCAACCAGTGTGGTGAGGTCCTAACCACTAGCACCACATAGGGTTCTGGCTGCCCTTTGTATTCCATGAGCAGCCTCTAGACTCATCTGCTTTGCAGACAAATCTAAAGTCTCCATCACAGATAGATGCACAGTGGGTTCTTTTCCTCTAAGGAAAAAAATAGGTTTCAGATTTAACCTATCTTCCACTCCGGGTTGGCCATCTGTAAAGAAAACTGCAATCCATAAAGTGTCAAAGAAGAGAGGTTAAAACAGCAGCACGTGGGTTAGAGGTAAAAGGCTTCCCAAGAGAGAAACGCTCTAAAGTACAGGAAAATGTATTTCTAGTGACCAAGGTTATGCATGTCTTTTACCTTTAAAATACATTCGTGCTCTACATATTGTGGTGCTTTATTCAAAATACAGGGTAAAAATATTTGAGAATGAGCAGATGAACCAAGTCTCTGTATCTTTCAATCAAGACTTCAAAAATCCAGATTATGCTGTCTCTTCTTTCTATTTATTTACACGTTCGATGTAAGAAGAAGAACTAAAATAAGTAGGGTAAAAATTTGTTGCTTTGTTGGAGGCCTTATTTCAGAATTTCTGTATTCAATAGGCACACATAACCATGGATTTCTTCTAATTCATTATACGAGAATAAACAGAAACACAGAAAGCTAAGAAATTCTCACTCTTCATTATTCTCGTAACTATGGATTTTTAAATTAAAAATTTTTTTGTTTTTAACTTACGGTTTTCTTTAGGCGGCTAATCTTATACTCTAAAAAGTTTGTAACACTTATTCCCAAATCTTATTAAAAAAGCAATTAATTTTTTGATTGGATGAAAACCATCTATCCCTGCAGATGTCGTCTTTAGAAATCTTGGCTGGCTACCTCACTACTCCATTGATTTCTGATATGTCAACTGTTGCATTCAAAAGACAAATGGCACCAAATATGTAACAATTACAAAAACCTTTAAATGAAAGGGGTTTTTCAGGCTTTTACTTATTTAATCGAATTGATCACTCTCTTTAAGATTCGACAGTATAGTTATCTCTTCCCTGCCCTCCCACCCCGCCCCCTCACCGTTTCCAACTTTATTATTGAGATCATATCAGATTTTGACCTTGTTTGTCCTATAAGTCTCACATATATCTCTTTCTGTGGCCAATTTTCCAAGGTCACAGGTTTCTTTACCTTCAACACTTTAAGTATTGATTAGCTTGCTTTGTCAATTTTCTATTTGTTTTGCAGTCAGGAATGTCAAACCAGTGTTAAGCAATTCAGCACTGCAGTTTGCCCAGCCTGCATAAACCTCCTGTTCCCTTTTGCATCCCTCCCTGAAAATAGAGTAGCTGCACGCAAAAGGAGTATGAAAATCAAGCCAGCGCTTGCTCGGAGCTGGTCGGCTAGTGTACGGCACAGCATATTTCAATTAGCATCCAATCAAGTTAAGTAGTGATACTTCAATATTTGTGTGAGCCTGCCTTGTAGAATTTAATACTCAGACAGCCATTTTGCAAAACACAGCAGGGCCATGAAATAAGGGCTATTTCAGTGAAAGAGTCACAGGATGATAAAGCTGTTGCAACAGCTGTGTCATCCATCCAGTGATTATTATCTACTATTTTTCTGAAGCTGCTCAAAATAGGATTTAGTGTTAGCCTCTGTGCCTATCTATAATTTGTCAAACTCCGTGGTATTTCTGCCCCCCACCATCCCATCATTCAAATATGAAAACAGGACTACTGTAGGTAAAAGAGAGTATCAACTGGTTTGAATGAGACAGATCTCTGAGACAATGGACTTCTCAAACCAATCCCTGTGCAAGTTATTTCCAACCTTATCAAAGTCACAAGGCACAAAAGATAGATAAAAACATCTCTGGGAAAAAATAAATATGTCAGAATCTGCTATACCTCAGATTCCTTGAAAACTCATGGTACGAGATGATCGACTGTCTGGTTGGTTCAGCACAGGGAATAAAAACAGCTGAAAGAGGCAACATGCACCAGACAGACACGAACAGTATTTTCAGCTCCCAGCTGCAATTCTACAGCAATAGAAACTTACATAGGACACCCGTACTCGCCGGCGATGCACCAGCCCGCAGCACTGCATGAAGAGGGGGCAGAACGCAGTCAGCGTGTGGCTTCACCAAGCTGCACTGTGCCTTGTCTTCTCGTCACAGCCTCGGTCCATTTCTTCCCACCTTCTACTCCCAGGTAAGAGGCATGAGCAAATCGCTTAGCTTCTGCCTCCTAGGTAGTTTCTAAAAAAGCCACCGTTCCTGCAGGCATGCCAAAACTTTGTTCTCCCCTGTTTTGTCTTTTTTTGGGGGGTGGGGGGCGTAATTTGAGATCTTCTTCAAGGGGGTTTCCTATTTGCAAAAATCTACAAGAAGTAGCATTAATTTTCCAGAAGTAAGTATTGCTAACACAGAGTTAGGACTGTCCAGATCATCAGAGTTTCTTGGTGACGCTTTTACAGTAGCCATTCTCAACTCGGGAGATTTTCAAACATCTGAGAATCTTGCATTTCACGACCCTGCAGTATTCTGCTTTTAAAAAGGAGGAGGCCTACTCCAGCTGCTGTTTATGTGACTGCTTCTTAGCACGCTGCTGCTCCTGCTTCCGCGGCTGCTCAGCTATGATTGCCTTCTTCACAATGCACAGGCTGACAGCAGCATCCTGGATTCACTGTTACCTCTGTAACGTTTTGGGCATATCTGATTTGCTACTTCTCCCTCCTCCCCTGACCCTGAAAAATGACTGAGTCTAGACTCGAATTCACTGTGGATTCCTAGGACTACAGAAACATCCTCCAAACCATCAGATGCTTTGTCCTGCAGTAGGTATTTCACATGAATTGTAAGGAGGATAGCCAGAGTGGCCTCAGGACCTGACTCGCTCAAGCACTGCGGCGCACGGCTGTTTGGTGCTCACTGACAAATATTCATTTTCTGGGTTAAAGCATGTTAAATAAACGTAACTCTGGAAGGCGAATTTGATCCGACTCAGACCTCATTAATTCATTAGATCACATACCACCTATGATTTAGATATAATAAACTACATAAGGCTGCCTTCCAAGTGTGAGAGCTCCCAAGTCAATATTCTTTGTAAGCTATTATTTAGCTCTTTCCCTAAAGACCCAGTTTTCAGGGGCTGAGTTGATCCTAATATTCTCCCTAAAGACCTTGTGCATGTCACATATAAAAAGATGAATCATTAAGACATGTGGAGATTCAGCTGTTCATTTGTATGATATCAGCCATTCTAATACGCAATGATTCATAAAACACTTTAGTGTGTCATAGATATTGATCCAAATTTGCCCCCATGCCCAAGTCATTCCATATTCTGCTGAGACCTAAGAAGGTATGTTAATGATTTCATGTCACAGATTAACCACCACTACGTTCTTTAGGTTCCTGGAAAAATAAAAGACAATTAATTCTCAACAATTTACCAGTATTTTCTCAAGGCTGTTTTGAGATAGGGTCTCACTCTACTGCCCAAGCTGAAGTGCAGTGGTACAATCATGGCTCGCTGCAGCCTTGAACTCTTGATTGCCTTGCTCAGGCAATCCTCCCACCTCAGACTCCCAAGTAGCTAGGGTTGTAGGTGCATGCCACCAACCTGGTTAGTTTTTTGGTTTTTGTTTTTGTTTTTGTTTTTTTTTGGAGACAGAGTCTCACTCTGTCACCCAGACTGGAGTGCAGTAGCACAACCTCAGCTCACTGCAACCTCCACCTCCAGGGTTCAAGCAATTCTCGTGCCTCAGCCTCCTGAGTAGCTGGGACTATAGGTGTGCACCACCATGCCTGGCTACTTTTTGTCTTTTTTTTTTTTTTTTTGGTACAGATGGAGTTTCACCATGTTGGCCAGTTGGCCAGGCTGGTCTTGAACTCTTAGACTCAAGTGATCTGCCCATCTTGGCCTCCCAAAGTGTTGAGATTACAGGTGTAAGCCATAGTGCCCAGCCTAATTTTTAAAAATTTTTTATAGAGACAGGGGTCTCACTTTGTTGCCCAGACTGGTCTCAAACTCCTGGCTTCAGACCATTCTCCTGCTCCAGCCTCCTGAAGTGCTAGGATTACAAGTGTGAGACACCATGCCTGGCCTTAAAATCTATGATTTAAAGCAACAGTTTTATATTGTTATTAATAGTCTAAGAGGTTGATAGAGCTGAAAAAAAATTCTGCCTTAATCTCCTTATTTAACTGATAAACCAGGTCCCAAAATGATTCCATGTTCTGTTTATCAGTAATATAAGCAATAGCATAATTTAAACCCTGTAGCTTATACAATCTACATAGTCTGTGAAAATTCTATGGTCTTATCATATACCAGTCAATCCTTTGTGGATTTGAAGGTCCAAAAGGAAAATAACAGATAGTCTATAGATAGACAATAAGGACACTTTAGTGATTAAATCAGAAACCTAGAGTAAAACAAAATTTCTGAATTACACTGCAAATTGGCTCTTGAAGTAAATCCTGGAAAAAAAAATCCCTCACCATTTTCTGAACCATACATGATATATTTCTAGTAGGTAGGATTTCAATTTGATTTTTTAAAGAAACTTTAGTGAGAAGAACACTAAGTAATATAAAAGAACACATAATTCAAATTCAAGTTTTTTCTTTTTTTTTTTCCTTTCTTTTGTTTTTGTTTTTGACACAGAGTTTCGCTCTTGTCGCCCAGGCTGGAGTGCAGTGGCGGGATCTCGGCTCACTGCAACCTCCACTTCCCAGGTTCAAGTGATTCTCCTGCCTCAGGCTCCCGAGTAGCTGGGATTACAGGTGCCCGCTACCAGCCTGGCTAATTTTTTGTATTTTTAGTAGAGATGGGGTTTCACCACGGTAGGCAGGCTGGTCTCGAACTCCAGACCTTGTGATCTGCCCGCCTCAGCCTCCCAAAGTGCTGGGATTACAGGAGTGAGCCACCATGCCTCAAGTTTTTTCTTAAGACCCCTTCATCACCTCCATCACCACACTTTTACTAGAATAACTGAATAAAGAATAAAAATTCAGCTTAAAGTTAGAATAGGATGAAAACACTGGGGAAATGATCTATCTCTTCTATGATTCTGAATTTGATTTGGAATTCACTTAACTTTTTATTAACTATGATATTTTTATATACAATATAAGAGAGATTCCCCCGTTCATTAGAGATTCCACCCACCTTGTCATTCAAGAATCCACAAAAGGATTCCAAGCACTAACTAATTTGATTCGGCAAACATTTATAGAGCACCTTCTGTTTGCTCAGTGCTGTGCTAAGGTGCTGGGGATATGAAATGAATAAAATACAATCCATGTATTCCTCTAGGCACTTATAACAACTGAGGAGGCTGGGTGCGGTGGCTCACGCCTATAATCCCAGCACTTTGGGAGGCCCAGGTGGGCAGATCACCTGAGGTCAGAAGTTTGAGACCAGCCTGACCAGCATGACGAAACCTTGTCTCTACTAAAAATACAAAAATCTGCTGGGCATGTTGGTGCATGCCTGTAATCCCAGCTACTCAGGAGGCTGAGGAAGGAGAATCACTTGAACCTGAGAGGCAGAGGTTGCAGTGAGCCGAGATCACGCCACTGCACTCCAGCCTGGGTGACAGAGGGAGACTCTGTCTCAAAAAAACAGAGGAAAGAGAACACAGTATTTAAGAGCAAAGGGAACACCAAGGAAACAAGTCCTAACCATCCCTGGAAGGAACAACAGAGCCTTCACAAAGATGAGGACACGGGCTAGCCTTGCAGAATGGATAGAATTGCGTTCAGTGGAAAGTGGGCGGAGAAAGAATTCCAGGCAATGGGCAGAAAATGCAAAAGCACAGAAGATTACATACAGACTATACACAGAACAAATTGTGTTTCTATAGTGTATATGAAGAAGGGTATCTTCAGACAACAGGGATCTACCCCAAGTCCTCATTCCAAACTCAGTTCTCCCCCAGATTCAGTCTTTACCTATCTCTATATCCCTAGCACTCAGTGCAGTGACTGAAACATAGTAGGTATCACAAAGATTCATAGTTGTCCCCTCCTGACCCATTCTTTACTTCATTTACAGTAATAGAAATAGACACTGGCTGCTGGGCTAAGACTAATGTCCCAGCTTCTCTTGCAACGTGGATGGCCACAGGACTAGATTCTGGTCAATGGGCAGATGCAGAAATGGCATGTGCCAATACCCAAGTCATGTGTCATTGCTGAGAGCTGGGACAGCCATTTATAATGAGAAGAAAGCTGCACATTCAGGAGAACAGAGCGACAAGACAGACCCAAATCCCTAGGACAGGGGAGCTGCAATATTGGCCCAATAGTGCTTACATTTGGACTGCACCAAGAGACATAACTCCTATATTGGCGCTTTTGCTCTGATTTCAATTATAGATCCTAAACTTGTACTATTATTGCTATTATTATTATTAATTTTTGAGACAGGGTCTCTGTCACTCAGGCTGGAGCGCATTGGTGCAATCTTAGCTAACTGTAGCCTCAACCTCCTAAGCTCACGGTGATCCTCCCACCTCAGCCTCCCAAGTAGTAGTTGGGACTACAGGCGTGTGCCAACGTGCCCAGCTAATTTTTGTATTTTTTGTAGAAATGGGGTTTTGCCATGTTGCCCAGGCTGGTCTTAAATTCCTGAGCTCATGCAATCCACCCATCTTGGCCTCTCAAAGTGCTGGGATTAGAGGCCTGAGCCACCACACCTGGCCTAAACATGTATTTTAAAAGCACCTCAAAGTGCTTCTGGAATGAATGATGAATTCACAGATCCAAGCCTGTGGAGGAGGAGGGGGAGTGGAAGAGGGGAATAAGAAAAGGCAAGAGTGGAGAGGAAAATCAGGATCTCAGGCTGGGACTACCTGGGTCCCATCAAAAGAGTTTAGATGCAGAAAAGAGTTTAGAATTGAACTGGTAGTACATACAGAATTATTGAAACTTTTAAATGTGAAAATTTCTGTAGTTTTATTAGGAAGTAGAAAAAAAATTTCAGACTGTTGAGTCTGAAAATAACCTGGTCAATAGTTCAACTTCGGCAAGAAATTGAAAGGTTTTGAGCTTGTATACTTGTCTGTGATAACTGTTCATTTACTAAATAATCAAATAAAGTCAATAAAAACTAGTTGCTTGGCTCATGTAGCTAAATTACAAACCTAATGAACTGCTAAATTAGCTGTTTTGTTATGAGATATCTTAAAAGCAAAATATTGAAAAGTGATACAAAGAGGCTCAATGACTAAAGTCAACAAATTAAAAATAATCAAAGATAAATGTAGATAATATTGATGGCAGATATATATTTTTTAATCCAAGGGATTTATTCCTGGAGAGTCATTTGAAAGTATGAGGATTACTGTTTCTTTACTGTTCACTGTCCACGTTACTATTAGTTAGGAGTGGCAAGAACACAGTCAAAGTTAAACATCAGATGAAGTGCTTCCTCCAAGAAGAGAACTCTTTGATAATAGGAAATGAAAGACCTAAAGAAGCCTTCTGTGGCAGAACTGAAGGTTTTGTGTCAGAGTTGACTCTGCTGAAGTGTTTCTGGCTTTTCTGTGGCTGTGATTTCAGGAAAGAAGGGTCCCTCCTCCAACAGACACGTGCTCATATCCTCATTAGACTCTCCCTTCATAGTACGTCTGCAACCATGAAGAGCCTAGTGTCCTTAAGTTGACCGAAAACTCTTTTGCTAATTTCAGTAAAAACAAAAAAAACGACCAACTGTCTCTATTCATCCATCCGGCCAACAATATCAACTGAGGGCTGCTCACCAAGCGCGTGTCTCTGCTGGGCACCAGTAGGATGACGACAAGTAAAACAACTAAGGTCCTTGCCTTCAAGGAGCTTAAAATCCAGGGGGCAAGGCAATTTGAATCCAATAATCACATAAGCATATAATTATAAGCTAATAAGATATTTGCATGAAAGTA